CGGTAGGCCCTGGGGACCCCAGCTGACGGCGATTCGGGGTCTGAACCCCCCCCCCGACAAGGTGTGCTGGGGGTGCCCGGCCCCCAACCGGGCCGTCCGCCCGGCCAGGCCCGGGACCTCCCCCGGGCAGGCGCTGGTCGACCGGGCGGCCCGGATGCGTACTCAGTTGACTTCATTATTTATCAATGAATTATTTCCTATTTTTCCCTTTTGTCACTGCCTTGCATGTGTCCCTCCCTCCTCTTTTGTTCCTGACCTCCTGTGTTTTAGTCTTCTGACGACTTCGCTTTTTCTTTTCTGTGTCCTTTTTTTTTTTTTTTTTGCTTGCACTCTTCTTTTGCTCTTCGTTTGCGCACAAAAATCGAAATTTTTTTACTTTCTCACCGCGGATTATTGCCATGGGTTTTCCAACAGACGAATCTTTCTTGTTTTCTGTGGGAAGATGCACTTCCCTTTTCTTTGTGTCTGTCGTTTTTTTTTTTTTTCCCTCTTTTCTATTTATAGAGCAACGGCATGGCCGACAGTTTTTTTTCCTTTGTTTTGGTTCCCTCCCCCCCCCTCCCCCTCCCCAAAAAAAAGAAAGAATAAAAAAGGCCCTTTTGTTTTGAACAGAACAGCAATATGACTCTTGACAAACTGGAGGGTGGTTTTAGATATCGTCACAAACCGGATTACTGCGATGAAATGAATCATTCCGGTTTCTGTGGGAAGATGCATTTCCCTTTTCTTTGTCTCTCGCTCTTTTTATTTTTCTTCTTCTTGTTTTTGAGTTAGAGCAACGGCATGGTGTGCAGCTTTTTTCCTTTTTTTTTGTTTTTTTCTCCCATAACAAAAGAACCCTTTTGTTAAACAGAGCAACAATATGACCCTTGATGGATGAATCTTTCCAGTTTCTGTGGGAAGATGCACTTCCCTTTTCTTTGTCTCTCTTTCCTATTCTTCTTGTTTTTTAGTTAGAGCATCGACATTGCGTGCAATTCTTTGCACTTCCCTTTTCTTCGTCTCTCTTTTTTATTCTTCTTGTTTTTTAGTTAAGAGCATCGACATCACGTGCAATTYTTTTCCTTTTTTTTTKTTCCTTCCCCCCCCCCCCCCAAAAAAAAAAAAAAGAAGCCYTTTTTRTTTTGRACARAGYAGCAATATGACCCTTKACWAACTGGAGGGTGGYYTCRGATATCGTCASAAASCGRATTATTGCRATGGGGTWTCCTTCCGRWGGGACAGAGGGGATGTACCGCAACCCTATGAGTGAGGTGATACGATTTCTTACAAAATATCACGATCATCAATACAAGATATACAATTTGTGAGTGCTCGACCTATCTCCCATCTCCCATTTGCGCGTAATTTTAAGTTTATTTAACTTTTTTTTATGTTATTTTGTTTTGTTTTAAGAATGTCAACAACATTTGAGAGGTATATCATCACTGAACTGACCAGTCCCAGGGAATTCAGAAATGTTTGACTCTCGTCGTCTGGCCCTTTGTGTGATCTTGCTCTGTATTTTGCTCTAATTTTAATTAATGGATGTCCCAAAAAAAAGGACTGATGAGCTGGAACTTGGAACTTGGGAATGTCCCAAAGGACTGACGAGTTGCAACTTGGGAATGTTTGGGATTGTCGAATCTTCTCTGTTGTCGATCATTGGACGGGCAATCCAAGCTGCTCTGAGAGGGTTTATGATGCGGCCAAGTTCGCTGGACGCGGTGAGTTGTGTGTCCATTCACACTCGGACTCTGTTTCTCTGTCTCCTCTCTCTCTCTCTCTCTCTCTCTCTTAAAATTACACACACATGCACATACACTGGGTTTATGATGCGACCAAGTTTGCTGCATGTGGTGAGTTGTGTTTGTGTTCTCTCTCTCTCTTTGTGTCTGTCTCACTCCCCCTCTCTCTCTCTCTCTGTCTTAAAGAAACACACATGCACATACACTGGGTTTATGACGTGGCCAAGTTCGCAGGATGTAGTGAGTTGTCTGTGCATCCACAACTCTCTCTCTCTCTCTCTGTGTCCCTCTCCCTCTCTCTTTTGTTCGGTCTTCAGCTCTTTTACAGAAAC